ACCAGCAACTTAACAAAGGTTTCCTTCGCGTTGGGAAGCAACTTGGGGAGAGAATCTACTCTATGTCATTCTGTATTTGAATTTTTACCAAGAAAAGTATTCATGGATTAATTTTACAATTAAAAAAGCAAAAAAGCAAAGTGTATTAACTGCTCTCTCCAAATAAGAGAGTTCTGGAAAGTGTTAAAAAGCCACTTAAGTTAGAGATTGCGGGGAAATGACTAAAACAATCTTTGACTTGCAAAGATTTAACATCTGAGGCTTCAAAATTTGTGGGTAATCCCCCAAACTAATAATACTTAGTAATCGTTCATCGATCTGAGGCACGAAAAGGGATCTGACACAGGCGAGGGCTTGGGAGGAGGTCATGTGGCCAGTGATTGAGCGGCTGCCATTATTTTTTCTGATTGTGCAGTTAACAGCTTCCCTGAAGCAATCTGCTCATGCTGATGGTGACCACAAGGAGACAGGTCTAAGGAAGTGATGGATCCTAACCCGAAATAAGACTTTGGATTAGTCAAAGAACAAATTCAATGCAGATCTGTGGAGAGAATGTATTCAATATGAAAATAAGAAAAAGCAATTCGTGAAACTTGTAGTGGATATTATAGCCAGATGAAAATGACTTTTAATAGAAATTATGATCCCTAGTGAAATTTTTCTTGAAAAGGTCTTGAAAGATTTCTCTTTTGGAAGTGAAGGGTTAACTGTAGTCACCTGGGCTTTATCATAAGGAACCTCCTTTCTTAGATCCAGACAAAATCTTCAAAGTCCTCTAGCCCACCTCTATTGTATATAATATTTTTTAGTTCTTTTTAAAAATGTTTTCAATTGTAAAAGTAATATATGTTAATTGTAGAAAATTTGGAAAATACCAAAAGGATGAATGAAAAAAAAAAGTCACCCGGAATATCACCACATAAAGAACAAAGCATTAACATATTTCCTTCTATTTCTGTGCAGTATAATTTTGTCCTGTTTTATACAGTTGGAACAGTATTATGTAAACAATTTTGTATCCCTTTTAATTTGTAACATTCTTTTACCTGTTATAAACTCTTAAATATATGCATTTTGATGACCACACAGTATTCCATTGAGCAATCCTACCATAACTTACTTAACGACTTCTCATTTTTTGATGGATGGGTAGGTCCCAGTTTATGCTTTTATAAATAATGCCTTATTTTTATTCCTAGATCTTTTGATGTATTTCACATTATTGCCTTCAATAGATTTTAGATTTAGATGGTAAACGTGCTTGATAAATAACGTCAAAAATTGCCTTCCATAACCACAGCCTTTATTTTAACGAGGAAGAAGCAAAAGCCCAGAGAGATAGAACACAGCTCACTGAGGGAAGAGCCAGCCTGGGGCAGGGGTTTCCTGACTTCCAAGCTTGTTTTCTCTCTGTCATCTTCTGCCTTCCCTCTTGGAATTTAAGCAAAACATCAGAGATTCCTTCCTTAATTACTCTGCTGCCTGTAAGCCTTCTGTTAGCTGCGTACTGGGACGGACACCTCTAGTGTATGTGTAAGCATTTCAGCTCCTGCTTTTATAGGTGAAATGGCGCCGTGGTTAAGAGCTCGGATGCTAACCAAAAGGTCAGCAGTTCGAATCTACCATCCGCTCCTCGGAGACCCTGTGGGGCAGTTCTACTCTGTCCTATAGGGTTGCTATGAGAAAGACCACAGGGGCATGTAAAAACCTTTTCCTTGCATAGAAATGTTTCCATTTATAGCTTACAATGCTGCTTTTTAAAATCAGTGAGTAATACTGTTATGTCTCATGGTCTGGGCTCCTCGCTTATGGAGGCTTTTGGGATCTGCACTCACTCACTTTTCCAGTCTTCTCCCCATCCTTGTTCCTCTTCCCACCCTTTGTGCTACAGCCGTTTGGAACTGGCAGTCTGTTTGCCACTCCATGTCCACCCTCCAATTCCTGAT